TCTAGCTGCGCTGCTTTGCAAGTTGGTATCCGTATTTTAGATTATAAAATTTATAAACGAAAGTCCTCTAATTCACTGACCACTCATTATTGATTAGTCCCCGATGGCTAATCCATAGTAATTAGGTAGTTAGTTGCTTATTTTGGTACAGATGATTTTCTCCTTATTTCTCTGAGTTCACCGGTGTAAACTAAATTTTTCTAACAATATTTTTCTACATTTTGAAGTTTCACCATAACCATCCTCGTGGACCCGCTAAATATCAGCATTATTACCCATATAAAACCACTGTTCCATTGTTCCCTTGATTGATGATCCATTCCTTGTACCCATACTTGCCCCTGCAAAATTCCATTTTACTCATTTAGAGCTAATTTACCCCAGGTTGAGAACCACTGCTCTAGATCAACATAACTGACATTCGCCCCATTCGTCAAACTTCAGACTGCCAAATCTTTGTCAAACCCAGTTGTTTTTCCAATTGGCTGCTGCCCGTGGAATTCGCCAAACTCATCCCTGATATCTTCTTGGTTTGTGGGAAGATCCGTCGCAGCTAGACTCAACCACACAGCCAATACACATCTAGGGAAGCGTTAGACGGCCGTTTTGTCCTATTGCGATTCGTCAGCAGCGCACACCAGCCGGATCCTGTCGGATTCCGATACACGAACTTACTCTTAGCCGCCAGCGACTTATGCCACTGAGGCATGGGTTATGGCAGCGGACTAACATGATTGATACCAACTACGATGTAGTGCGGCTTGTCCTCTAATGTCACGTATGTTATGAAAGTGCAGAGAAAAGGGCTGGACTCCAGAACAAGGACTTCTATTCAAGCTCCACTATTTCAGATGGCATGCAAGCTGCTGAAACGATTACTGATTATTAGTGAGCAGTAGGGGTTAATTGGGTTTATGCATGACAGTTGAAGATGGGCCACGCTATATCGCGGCCATGGTAATCCGTTGCCGTCATCCATAACTCAGTGATATAAGGTAAGGTAGTTTGTCCGAATCCGGCAGGATTCCGCGGGTACGTGCTACTGGCGAGTCCCAGTGGAACGAAACGGCCGTCTAGCGCCTTTCTGCATGTATAGTGTCTGTTTGCCTGAGCCTAGCTGCGAGGGATCTTCACATACATCCAATAGTTCCCCCATATTACTCAATGACATTCTTGGTTCTTACTGTGCATCTTAATCAATCCATCCACACTAGTTGTACACGTTGTTACATTTGCTTGTGGGCTGTGCGTTCTCGCATGTGAACACACCTGCCCCAGGACACAATGGCCCCTTTGTTGTCACAAGTGAACCTAATGCATCGCATCCACTTATATGCTTTATAGCGAACTTGTCATTCTGTAGGGCTACCTGATCAAACGTATACATCTGTGGGATCCCGCTTATGTACTCTATTTTTCCTGATCTGGCTGTACAGTTGCAAAGACAATGATTTGCCCCCTTTTTGCGTACGTTGTGAGGTTTCGGCTGTTTCCGTACTGATCGGGTACTGTTGCAGTACATTCTTACACACTTTGATATCCATGTGAATTGCACCATCGTTCACTTTCGGAATAGTTTTGAGTTTACGCTAAGGTCACCCGCGTTACTCAATCCCAGGCGAACTTGTCATTCACGCAGCCGTCCCATGCGTGTGAACAAACTCATTAATACAGGAGGCCTGTTGTCCATTGATATGAAATTGTGAAGTGTAGGTAGCAATCTGATCATGTCGAATTCCAGTGTACCGGCCCGCTTAATGAGCCCACGACTGTTTCACCTAATGAGAACTCTTCTGAGTAGGAGGCGATAGTTCGAATCGAATTCGCAGTTGATTGTTAAATTGAAGTGGGCACTCTATCGCTGTTGTGCCGTGAAATGCCTTGTAATGGACCAAACTGAATAGGATAAAAGCCGTTAAGATCATCCTAGTAACACCGAGCGTATTTTGTTCTAATCGTGAAATTAAATGAAAAAAGCGGAGGTCGTCTTATATTCACGACTATTTAGTAGTTACACATGCCCTGTTTGTGATGTTGATCTCAGTAGAGTCTTTAAAGAGTGCTTCGTTCATTTCCTGTCGTCGTGAATGCAAATCAGTATTCATTAACATAAATGTTAACAACTCACATGTCTCTCAACACCTGTCTAGCGCGTTTTTGTGCCGCATGCCAACGCGTGTACATAAGGTGCATAAAATAGACACCCTGTTTTAGTGAATGCAAAAGCGACCGCTAGGATACCACAAGATTCTGAGTAAAATTGGCTCATCCGTTGACATGTTCACTTCACTATCGTCTTGGGTGGCCTCTTACCTGTCTAATTGTACCCAGCGGGTGTGGATACAAACCAGAGCAGGCCATCATAATTTGTCAGACGTGGGGCGATTCACCGCGGCACACTGCCCTTTTTGGCTGTACTTGAGACATATTTGATGCCAATTTTAAAAGAAAATTTCCCATCATTGACTGTGGTACCAAGGATGTACAATATTCTGGTCTATATCTCATCAGGGAGTTCAGATACAACATTCAAGCTGGTTATTCGTTGGACTGCTGTTGCGTTTTGTAAGGCATGCCACTCGCCACCGAGATATGTAAAACTCTTTGTAGGTGTGTTGAAACCATTTCAAGGTTTCACACCATTGTAACAATTACATTCTGGTTAGCGGCGCGGTACGATTGCTACACACCAGAACTTGTAACTTCACAGCTTGATCACCGTGTGTACTTTCTGGGGTCAAAGCGGCCTGTGAACTCATGATGCTAACCTATAAGCTGAATGATATAACACCCCCGCCTGGCTCCTTAGATCAACGGACATAAAGAGGCTAGTTACGTTCGACCACTGATGCCTACACAATTTGGTTCACATTTGGTCGGAACACCGCGTGAGAAATGAGCGTGTTCGACGCCTTGTTTACGGCATAGGAAAAGGAAATGATCCGCTCAGCACCTTTATTTCACGCACCAGGCTCCGATGGCGCTGCCACGTGTTACGCATGCCAGCCCACTGACTCCCGTGACCTACGTTGTTTACACGCCGGGGATGTGGATGGAAGAAGAGGAGAGGTGACCACGCGATGACTTTTGGTCGAGAGGAATGAAGGCCCTCACTTCGAAGCTGGCCTCGGTTGGAGCTTCTCGGCTTCCTGGTTGGAGTGCGAAAGACGATGAACACGTTTGGCTTGATACACTAGTTGAGATGGTTAGGAGGTGACCTTAGTGGCGTTCGTGCTGGGAGTTTCTTTGTCCCACCCGTCCCTCTTAGCCTCCAACTCCAAGCACGATCTCACTATTTAACATTTTCTAATTTTGCATAGTAAATTATTCTTTTTTTGTTACATAGTAGCCGGATTGTAGCTTACCGGAACGATGCACATCTGTTGCTGGTAGCTCAGCTGGCTTGCACCTGTTGCATTTTATTCCCTTTTATTCTTTTAGGTATTGCGGCACAGTAGCTAAGGTGTTTCCCACCTCTACCTAATGTGTATAACGTGTGTGTCGAAACCCCTTTCTACTGATACCTCAGTGTAGTTTTTGACATATCCTGACGCTGGGACACACCTGACGATGCTTCATTGGTTCATGTGCGAAGCCCAGCAATCAAACATCGCTTGTTATTAATCATAAAATTCACATAAGCACAGAAATGATGTATAATTAGACAGGTACTAGCCAGCTAACAAGGCTGAAAGTGAAATCCACTGTCATTCAGGATATGGTTTACAAACGAACTCAAACGGGTTTTGCGAATCTGATGTAACAGATTCCATTGCCTACTTCCAAGCATACGCATCACGGTCAGGAGTCAATCTCAGCACACCCACTAATCTGTGTAACAGAGTTCCGAGGGTAGGATAATATTTCCGGATAAAATACCGGATTTTCTATATGGTGGAATCAATGCACTTACTAACACATTTTATGAAGAAGGTCATGAGCGGTGCAACAGTTGCCTAGAAATTGGTAGAGCAAACTGTGTTTGAAAAGAGTCGAAAACTGACAGGCTTATCCCGTCCTTGAAAGGAATTTTTGTTTGCATTAAATGAGTGCTTTTGGAAACATACTTTTTGGCTCCTATCTCAACATCGGTGTGGCAAAGATGTGGACAGATAACCTTTGCTAGATAATGTGGAGAAAACTTTGACTGTGTGGAAAGGAATCGTCAGCCCCAAATTCAGGCAGTCATCTACCACTTACAAGGAAAATAATTGCATCGTCAATTTCCTATGGGGGGCCTAATTACCAACTCCTCAGTCCAAGCTCACATTTCAGTAGGATAATCAGTGGCCTGGTGAGGAAGTCGTAGTTATGGGGGCCAGTCGTATCTTGTGTAGATTTATAACCAATATGAGGGTGGGGGCTGAGCAACGACATATCACAGTTACTAAGCCGTCAGTGGGGTGTGTTACCGCGACCTATGGTTTGGTGGTTTAATTCGGTGACTCGTAAGAGTAAGATCATAGGTTCGAATCTAGCGGGGTTCCGTGAAATAGCGCCACTAACGAGTCTCTATGGGATGAAAGGATCATCCTGCATTTTCTTAAAGGTGAGATGGCTGTCTGGCCAAAACTTACTTCGACGAACCTCCCCAAAAATTGAACCATACCAAAAGAATTGATTTATCATGGAGATTTTCTAACTAATCTGAATTTCTGAGATGTTAGTTGGTAGAGTGAAATAGAAACCATTTTTGCTATGCGGCCTATCTGATAAAGTGCCAAACTAATCGCTGCTAAAGATCTCACGTCCACCAAATAGTCCCTTCTGAGAATCGGGACCTGTTTGGTCAAAAGCTTTACGAAATTGTTTTCTTGTTAAATATTTTTGCTAGTTCGCGACAACACAAAAAGTGTGTTAAAAATGGTTTTGCGACTTCCCTAGCTTTCAAAATTCCACCCTCTAGATTGTTCGCTTTACTACACAGCTTTTGAGAACACTCAAAATGGTTGTCAGTTTATCGCATATATAAACATTACAACGGTATTCGGACGCACCATCTAGAAAACAGTGAACTTACCCTGGACATAGAAAATTCCGGGGTGACCCAAGCCCCACGAAGTGATGACTGCTGTAGCTGATGATGAAGGCTCTTCGGATCGTAACTGGACTGCTCTACGAGGTTGACTAGTGGGACGTTTTAGTTCAATGGCAGGCGTTGACTTTGTAGCCCGGTTCATCACTAGCTTGGTCTCTTCAATGGATTTTCCAAGACAGATGGATCCAAACAAGAGTAGAAATCCTGGAGTCAAAGTGGACATGTCCATTGCTTGAGTTATAATTTGGAGGGTGTTTCCTCACATACGTGTATGTTCACTGACCAGTTGTGGAGGGATTTGCTAATTAGTCACCATTCAAATAGATGTAGATGTGGTTACCTCAGAGAATTTATCCGGAAACTTGAACGGAGACATTTTCCCCCACTTTTCGTTAGCAAAATTGTTGAACCCAGTTGCGTGGCAAGCTTATGAAATTCTTCCGATATTGTTTGGTTTTGGTGTTATTCAACATGTGAAGGCGCACCAATTTGCGCTGTGGCTAAAAAGTGCAATGTACATTTGTCCGTTACCCAGGGTATAATTCTATTAACTGTCAATTCATTTGCCACCGATACGGTTTGTGGTGGAACTGGTAAACATATATTTGTAACGTATTGGCGGTTTTGTGAGTATGTAATTTTTGTAGAAAGTAGAAGCCACGATTAAACTTTGCACAATAATCTGCCTCGACGGGGAATCGAACCCCGGACATACGGATTACCGGTCCGCTGCTCTACCAACTGAGCTACCGAGGACTGAAGATCAGGTGCGCAATTTAATACAAGACATCTGCTTGGTTCGCCATGTATTGCCGGGATTCGATTCCCCGTCGAGGCAGATTATTCTGCAATGTTTAATCGTGGCTTCTACTTTCTACAAAAGAAATGTATTTGTAGATCTTCACAGTACTCTCTCAGTCTTTTCGTTATACTCTGACCACTCGGTTGCACCAAGAACCGAACCCATGAAATCTAAAACAATGTTTTATGACAAATAGGTCGGGAAGGGATGCAGATGCAAATTCGAAGAATGCGCGTTGTAAAAAAAGATACAAGGTGACTCGGTGAAGCAATAGAGTAACCGCCTGTTGGAAGAGGGTGTGTGAATATGAGATAGCAAACTACAAAGCAAATGTGATGTTATTATTATTACAAGAAGCTATTACAAAAAGCCGGTTAGCGAGAACAGACTCTAGAGGGTGAGTTCAGCTAACAAGGTGTAAGGAGCTGAGCAATATTTCCAAGCGTTTTTCAAAAATTGCTAAGGTGGGTACACATGGCTGAATTTGGAATGGCGTCTCAGGGTTGGTAGACCCGGAGGGAGAAGTGGTTTCATGGACAATCCAAACGTAATCCAAGCTTGACATCCTTGGCTAAAGCGTGAACTTGTCGCACTCAAAACCCCAACGTGAAGCAACGTAATTTATCTAAGGATTACGCCACCTATCGTATCAGCAACGGCTGAAGTCACTCGGGTTTCTCAGTGAACGTTACCGGTGACTACGTGGAGACCTCATTTTCCTTTACGTACTACAGATCGACTGTACTCACGTATGCCGCCAATTACTGAAATTCAGTCTGAACACCTAGCTCAGAAATAATAGTCTGAAACGGAGTCAACAATACAGACATAAGCATTGTGAACGAACATGTTTCCCCCTCCGGGTGTGCCAACTATGGAAAGCCCATCAAAACTCAGTTGCCTGTGTCCCCACATTAGCTCTTTTCAAAAAAACTATTGGATATTGAATTGAAAGCCCCAAACATTTGTTATTTGTGCGGATATGCTAGACATATTTGGGCTAACTTGCCATTTTGAATTTATGACCAAATATGATGTACGTACATTGGTGCAGACCATTGAGCAATTTGCTGGCTACTTGTTAGGATTATTAACCATCATATATTTTACTTGGCTTTGTCTGTATAATCATCTTTCCTGACACAATCACTCTATCACTTTGCCCATGCGTGTTTTATTTGGTCCACTTATATAGTAGTTAAAGTTACATTTCTTCTATTACCTACCTACTCATTGTAAGCCATTGTTCCATTGTTCCATTGCATGTTTCCAGCGGGTACAGCCTGTTGGCACATGACTCATCCTCGGTTTACGTGATGTGCCATATGAAGACCGATGCAAGAGACTAGGGTTGACCTTATCATGACGCACCGGATATTACATCTGGGCAAATACCCCATGTTGAGGCCGGTGCTGCAACTGTGCACACCAAGCAGCACACGAGGACACCGGTACAAGCTTGTCGTACCGGAGTTGAAGTGCGTCGCTCACCAACTCTGCTTTGAGCGGCTGGTAGTGAATATTTGGAACAACCTGACTGCCGAGATAGTGGAAGCAAACTCGGGGTCGGAGTTTAAGGAACTCCTGGACACACTATTGGCCAACTTAAGATATCGGGATTAATCACCATCAAAATTGATAGCTTTGCTTAAAAGATATCAGATGCAGCTACACAGAGTCACCTCTACGCATTGCATTTTCTCAGAATCTCAGTATCTCAGTATCTCTCAGAATGACGACCAGGCTTTTAGTTTGGGAAGGGAGCGGCATAGGTGATTGGGATCGCTCAGTATTTGTTTTACTACTATAAGTTCTCCACATAACTGCAGGTTGCGTCCACGGAACACTCCGAGTTTCTTCAGCCGTTTCTGGTAGGGAAGGCAGAACAGCGAGCTATGCCCGTAGGCCATAGGTTGTGGCAACAGACGCTTTTTGAATTAAAAGCTGACTACCATATAGCGCGGCTTTGCTTCCATTAACAGTGAGCTGACTGTGACGCTCCAGTCATAAATTATATCAAATACTCCTGTTCACAAGCAAATAGTTATGTGAAATGGAAGCATCGTCCATATTCAGATTAAGTGCCACAAATCACCCACTCAATGGGTGTGCTGCAAATCTAGTCCGTACTGACTCCAAAATCAATGTGAGACGCAGTACACATGTGTAGAGAATAGGCAGTGATGCAAGGTCTACTTTTTGCATCATGTGCATAGAATGTACGCAGATATAAAAATAACAGCAAATTACTCTGTGCCAGAAATTGGCATGTGTGTGTGTGAGCAGCCTGACTGTTTGAACAGCCGATGGTAATTGAGCTAACGTTAGACCCGAGCTTGGCTGTACACTGTTACGAAAAAGGATCACACGGTTGTGTACTGGTGGTTGGCGTTTTCGGTTTCCATTTGTTTTCTGATGTTACATATGGCGGACACACTCAGGCAGTTTAAGGTGAAATGAGATCAAACGATGCGTGTGAATTCCCCGGCTAAGCTACGGCTGATAACCAGGCTTTGCTAGTTGACGCACGACCATGTTGATCTCTTAGTGCTAGAGGCATAAACAAGTATACCTACCGTAAAACCGGATGAGAGGGATCAGTAAGTATGACCAATGAAAGCCTACCAATGAAATTCTTCGCGAGAAAATCCCATGTACTTTGGCACATATGTCGTACCCCCGAAGGCTCTATCCATTTTGCCGGTAACATGGTCTAGACCTCTGACTCAGTTCAGGATTTTGGAAGTAGGTATTCCAGCTCCTTATTTTCCTTGGACATATATTCTATCAAATCACGAAAGCTACGCAGCTATCGCGTTGCATCATTAGAACATTCTCCCTAACTGAAAGGACTAAAGTTGGTTAGAATTATTGTAAGTCCTATTCTGGAGTATTGTGCTATCATTCACAGACAAGTAAGCAAGACAGATTAGCTCTGCAAAATGTCTAACGATCCGATCCTAGGCTAACCATGGGGTGCTAGTCAAACCTGATTTCTTATGATTGTTGTCGTCATCTCCGACCGGATCCCATTTGGCTACGCTGAATGAAGGACCCTCTCCCTCTTCTCTTCAAAGTTGTAAATAAGCGACTCTTCACAGGCAGTACCGCCAAGGAACTGCGGAACACAGCTATTTATCCCACCCATAATGGCTACCACCTGTTAGCATCAAACCTTGCAAGTCATAAAATCTGATTTCAACCTCGAAATGCCAATTCCAATACCAATTCCATCCCCAACATTACTGGATGTAAATACGTTGACAACCTAGTTCTAGGCAGCATTGCTCTAGCTGCTGAATCATCAACGGCTCTGCAAAGCGGGATGAATGAACTTCAGCAATGGTCTTCTTCCTGATCCCTTATTATCGACGTTTCTAAATGCCGCGGTGTAACTTTCGCTTTTCTCCACACTGACAAACGTCTGACTGTGGCAAACACTTCTCTCCTCATGGTCGTAAACGACCACAATATACCCACTTCATACACTGTTAAGTACCTTAGTGTATATTTATCTCAGAATCTCTGTTGATCAACACACGTTGACGAAACGTTCCGCAAGTTGCGGAAATTATCATGTTATGCCCTCAGACTCGAAACGCTTTTAGTACCCTGCACTTCAACTTACAAATTCGTGACAGTGTGTTTTTCCCCCTTGGTTATATTGCTCGTCTATCGTCTTTTCTGGTATTCTACGAAACACCTCACATTGATCGTGCGTTCCATTAAGCTCATTTTTAAGTCTAGTGCATAGTCCAGAAGTCTCTGCTTCACTCCATCATTAATAAGCACTGGTAAAAGTGACAACTACTAATAAGGGTTTTAAATAACCCTTTTTACCCCTTTCACGATGAATCATCAAATTCTGCCTCCTGTTCGTCTACCCACTTTAAATTTAGGGTTTTGTTTTCCCGAAAAACATGTTATCATGACTCTACTTAATCGAATATATCCCGTTTTCTTGCGGACTCAAAGAAATTTCTCAGCACCACCCGTGAACGTTAAGATGATTGAGGTGCATGCATGCTGTATGTCCTTGATTGCAGTATCATGACAAAGTACAATGAACTATGATTTAATACGGGTTAAGAAACATTGCTTTGCAAGCCCCATTGAGTAGTCTGATGGGTTAACGAAACGCTTGACTGAAAAAATGCTGTCAGTAGTTCTACCGTCAGAAGTAGGGACTTATCGGATCCAAGTAAGTGAGCCCGCACTCAAAGGGTTTCCATAGCTTCAATAGGCGAAAAAAAGTAAATCCAAGGTATTTCCCGGGAGTAGGATGGAGAGTAGCGTCAAGTAACAAAATGTAAGTGGCGGAGTGCGTCATCCAACCGACTTTTAAATATTGCTAGTATGGGTGCAGAAAAAACCGATTCGGGGTGAGAGTTCCATGGTTGATACACACAAATTGAAAAGAAACTTCTACGGCACGCCAGATGGCTGTATTGTTCGGCTAATTTCAAGGAGTGGCCCCTAAGCCAGGTGTTACTGCTGAGTTGCAGTAAAGAGCGGCACACATGATTTGGATTGTGTAAAATCAAGTACGCCATAAACAAGTCGCCTCGTAATTGGTGATACCGCCCGCTGAATACTCCCAAAAGTTTCAGCCTCTGCTCGTATGGAAGGTGGCGCATTCCTATGACATATTTCCAAGCCCGACATTGTGGTTGATCCAGTGCAGTAACTTGGTGCCTC